TGCAGGGTGAGGGAGGTGGGAATGGGCTCCAGGATGCTGCAGGAGGGGTTTTGCCCCAGAATGCAGGAGCAGAGGGTGAAGAGCAGCAGGAGGAGATGCTGAAAGCAAAGCACTCGGGTGATGTCCTCTCAAGACCTGCTCTCCCAGGTCTAGCCTTGCACTTGTCCATGTTAAACCTCCTGCCCTGCTTTCTGGATCCTGAAGGTCAGCAGGAAGGGGTTTCCAGGTTATCCTCCTGGGCAGCTGGGCAGTTGGACAGTTCTCCAGCCAAACTAGAGGGGTGCTGCTGTGTTTTCCCAGAAATCACAAGAACAGTCTGGTAAGAGACTTTCTCTTGACCTTCAAGCAGCAAACTCCATCCCCAGTGTGCCACCACTGCCCCCACCCTCCATCCCGTTTGGCCTGGAGGTGCCTGGAAGAGGGTGAGGAGCTCTCTGGTTCATTGATCCCACCTCTGCAAGGCGCAGGAGGTGTCTCAGCACCGCCAGCATGGCTGGTTGTTATTGTCATTGCTGATTTCTGTGCTCTCCTGCCTCTTTCTCCCTGACCGGTTTGGTGGCCCTGTCATTACGAGGTTTCTCCAGCTGCCTGTCAGGGTCCTACTGGCCTCAGCGTTGCCTCAGGCTCCTGGATAACAAACAAGGCACAGAAGAGTCCTTGGGCTTCCACAGACTTAATTAGCTGGTGTCATTTTAGGGATGTGTGTCCTGCTGGAGACACAGACAGCTCAGGAGGCATCTTTAAATGCATCCAATTAGAGGGGCTTCAGGGATGAGCCAGCAGTTCCTGAGTGCAGGGGCTGCTGTGAGGCCTCGTGTCCTCACTGGAGGCTGGGGCCGAGTTGTTCTCCCCCTGGCAAACACCAGTCTCTCCTCGGTGGGACCTGTCACTGCTGTGGCCCTGGTGGCATTCACAGCATCCTGCCTGGTTTTTCTCCAAGAAACCTGCCAGTGAATCCTGTTGTACTCAAAGCTTGGGTAGATTCTGGGGTAAAATCAGGCAGTGTTTCTCCAGTTTTCAGCAGCCCTGGATCTCCAAGGGAGCTGCTGCCCAGAGTCTTTGGACACAGCACAACTGCCCTGTCCCCTCCCCACTGTCAGGTTCTGAATGTGTATCACACATTGGCTGGTGTGCCAATTCTCACCATGACCACAATCAAGTGGTGATCTTTGTACTAAATTGGTCCCTCCCAGCTCAGGATATTCTATGGTTCTTTGCTAATCTCTTTCTGAGGTCCAGCCCAAGGAGATCCTTTATTCCTCAGGGCAGAACCTTAGGGAGTGTAAGGAAGAACATTCATGCCCTCCATGGGCACATGAATTCCTCTGCAGGCTGTGACTGAGGGGTGCCACCATAAGCACCCCTCACCACTCCAACGAGCTCATGCTGAATGGGATCCACAGGGGAAGCCACCCTGAGGTGCCACTGAGGGGCAGTGGCTTGGGGACTTCCCACAGAACCTCCACTGGCATGGCAGTGACCTGAATTACCTTGAGACCAAGTGAGACGGCAGTGGAGTGAGGATGTGACTCACAAAACCACACTGAGGTTTGAGCTGGAAAGTATCTCTAAAGCCCATCCAGTTCCACCCCTCCCTGCAAGGGGCAGAGACATCTTCTACTAGACCAGGTTCCTTCAAGCCCCCTCCAACCTGCCCTTGAACACTTCCAAGAATGGGGCAACCACAGCTTCTCTGGGCAACCTGTGCCAGGGCCTTGCCACCCTCATTGTAAAAAACTTATTTATATCCTACCTAAATTTCCCCTCTCAGTTTAAAACCACCACCCTTCACCCTATCACAACAGGCCCTGCTGAAAGGCTCATCTCTGTACCGTGAGTATTATAGGATGTTTTCTGGGATGTGTTTGTTTTTTAACATCTGCACACAGCTGTTTGCAAAGCCCTCGTGGGGAACTCTGCGTTCCAGTCAACCATGAACATCTCCAGCCAAACACGAACACGCTCAGACTGTCAGAGTCTTCTGTGCAAGGTGAGTTCATCCCTTCTCCCTGCCCACAGCCTGGCTATGACAGGTCACCTCTGGCACCTGCCTTTCCCCCGGGGACATCCCTCGGTGTCCCCATCCTCCCCTCCTGCCCCCAGCCTCACTGCTGCTCCAGGTAACAGCGCCCACCACCATCCCTTCACCTCCACCTCGGCTCCCTCAGCCTCCTCAGCAGGAGGCAGCTGGGTCAATCCCCTCCCCGGGGCTCAAAAATTATTCAATCAATTAAATCCTCGTGGAAGTGGGGTTTCCATCCCACCCCCGGTCCCGGACGGGTGCTGAGGAGTCCAGGCTCTGCTGTGGCCGGGCTCAGTGGCGGCGGCTGCCCAGCTCCGGCCTCTCAAAGAGTTAACGCCGAGCAGCACCATTAATATTCTCGCTGATAACCCCAAATACCAGCCCTGCACGGCTGTCGCTTTCATTAGCGCCGGGAAAATGAGCCCTTCAAAATAGGACAGGCGGCTGGTGGGGAGCGTGGGGAGGAGGGCTCTGGGGCCAAACATGCGATTTTCCGTGCGATCGAGGGATATTAAACCGCCTTGCAGTGACCTCAGGGCCGCTGGGGTTCGGCAGGATTCCCCGGCCCCTCGGCCCGAGCCCCCGGCCGCGCTCGGGAGGTGCGCGGGGCTGTCACATCGCATCAGCCCCGGCCCCGGAGCCCCGCTCCAGCCAGGTCCTCGCCGCAGAACCGCTGGAAGAGTCAGCGAGTCGCCCAGGCGGGCGGCAGGGCCAGGGCTGGCCGGGCACCTCCCAGGGATGGGCAGGGCGGGAGAAGGGCTTTGGGAGCTTTGCTTTCAGTGTGGAAGGGAAGCGAGAGCCCTGCTCGGTGTGTGGGAAAGTTACCGATCCATAACCTGTCCAGGAGGTGCCCAGCCCGCGGCACCTCCCAGCTCCTACATTTTGCTTTACCGGGCGTACTCCCGGCAAATCGGAGCCCCAGGGGCGCTGGGGAAGGAGGGTTCAGCCAGGGGCCAGATCCATTCTGCTCTCCAGCACAGTCTTCAAGGGGATCCCTGGGAAGTTGCCAGGGCAAGGATTGTTTTATTCAGCTGTCGCATCTCCCAGAGTTTCAGCTGCAATTGTCCAGCTCCTTTGGGATGCTGCTTTGGCCAGGGAGAGGGATCTGAGGAGATGGGGAAACTGAGGCTGGGGCCAGCTGCTTGAGTACAAATGCTGTCCAAAGACATGATGGATGGGGCTCAGGAGTGGGGCTGTGATGCTGTTGGCACCAGAGGAGCCAGAGAAGGAGCTGCTGCAGGGGTGGAAGCACAGCCTGTGGCTGCCGTGGCAGTCTGGAAAAACCACACGGATTTGTGGCACCATGTCCCCATCCAGGTCCCGCTGTCCATAGGAAGAAAGAAGTCCTGCAAGATGCTGAGTGTGTGCCAAGGCACCTCAAAAAATCTTGGAACAGTTTGGAAGTGATCTCAAAGCTCATCTTGTTCCACTCCCTGCCATGGGCAGGGACATTTTCCACCTGATCAGGTGGCTCCAGGCCCTGTCCAAGCTGATCCTGAACAGTTACAGGGATCCAGGGGCAGCCACAGCTTTGTCCTTCTCTTCCTGAATGAGGACACTGAAGCAGCCAGGCATTAACTGGGAAATGAATATCCACTTTGAGCCATGCCCAGGGAGGGCGATGACCAAGACAAACCCGTCCCTGACCCACGGAGACATCTCTGAGGGTACCAGAACCAGCCATGATTCGAGGTTTCTGGTCTACACAATCCTGGAGGACACAGCCACGGGTATTTGTACAGGGACTGTAGCAGAGCTCCATCTCATTTTTATGGACCTCATGTCCCAGGGGCTGTCCAAGCCCAGAGCTGTCCCCTGCCAGCCCCCAGCTGCCCCACCCTGGAGGAGGGTGCTCTGCACCTGCCAGGGTGACAGCACATCCCTCTGCCCATGGTGCTCCTCCTGCACGGCTCCAGCTGCCCCCACAGAGCCCCAGCACTCCAGGGACTTGGAAGAGCCTCTGGTGACGTTCTGATCCTGCTCACAGCCTTACCCCCTCCCTGACATTTGGGGTGCCCCGCAGAGCTTGTCTTCCAATGTGCCCAAGAAGTGGCTGTCCCCAGAGGTCTCCTGGCACCCAGGCAGGGAATCTAGCACGGGACAACCCCGGCAGCATGCTGTGAAGAGGGACAGAGGTGTCCTCACCTCGCCACAGCTGGGGGTCACTGCTGGAGAAGAGGAACTAACACCAAAGCCAACAGCAAGCTGACACAGCTGAGAGGCGAGGGGGAGAGGCGAGGGGCTGCGTCTCCCTCCCCACCTCTGCTGCTTTCACACTGATGTCCCTGGTGCCGGCGAGAACCAAACCTGCGGCCGAGGAAGCCAAATCCCGGCGTCTCCGGCCCGCGGGGCCGGGAGGCGGCGCCGGGCTCAGCCCTGGGCGCGGAGCAGCCTGTGTGACAAGCCAGGCCAGCATGGTGGATGGCAGTAATTACCGTGCCGCCCACAGCTGAAGGGGAGCATATGGTAAGGAAAAGGAAACGAACTTGTATTTTTCCGCACCCCCGGGCTCAGCCTTTCTGGGGCTGTCACAGTCGATTTGTGCCGCCTGAGCCGTTCCGCCCCGGCCGCCGCTCGCCCGGCGCTCCCTCGCAGGCGGGGCCGGCGCTCGGTGCCCGCTGCGCTGCCGGGGCCGCGTCCTGCGGAGCCCCGGCCCCGATCCCGGCCCGATCCCGGCCCCGATCCCGGCCCGATCCCGGCCCCGCTCCCGGCCCCGCTCCCGCCCCGCTCCCGGTCCCTCTCCCGGTCCGCTCCCGGTCCGCTCCCGGCCCGCTCCCGGCCCCGCTCCCGGTCCCTCTCCCGGTCCCTCTCCCGGTCCGCTCCCGGTCCGCTCCCGGCCCGCTCCCGGCCCCGCTCCCGGCCCGCTCCCGGCCCCGCTCGGCACGGCCGGCGGTGGAGCGGGCTGTGCCGGGGTGCTGCGATGGATGCGCCTGGGGCACCTCGGGATGCAGAAGTGCTGAGGAACCCTGCGCAGAGCCGGACATCCACCCCGGACATCCTCCCCGGCTTGGGGAGGTCTCTGCAGCAGCCCTGGGTTATCCATCAGCTCTGAGCTGTCTCTTCTTTCCCGACTCACCAGGCTTTCCTGAAGGTGGGCTATTCCCCACTGGAGCCCCCAGGCAGCACCTAAAAGCCACCACAGGTCCTGTACAGAGCCCTCCCGGAGCCACGGTGTGTGCTGTGGCAGCCATCTGTAGGATCCTGGAATGGCTTGGGTTGGAAAGGACCTCAAAGGTCATCCTGTTCCACCCCTGCCATGTCCAGGGACACCTTCCACTGTCCCAGGCTGCTCCAAATCCCGTTCAACCTGGCCTGGGACACTTCCAGGGATCCAGGGGCAGCCACAGCTTCTCTGGGCACCCTGTGCCAGGGCCTGCCCACCCCCATAGGGATTAATTTTTCTCTACTATGCAATCTAATCCTGCTCTCAGAGAGTCCCCAATGCACTGACACCCTGGCTGATGTGGCCTCTCAGGTGGCCCCAAGGTGGCCAAGATCTGGCTGAGAGGGAAAGCTGCTGCCTCACTCCAAAGCTCTCCCCCAGTCCATGCTCTGTCCAAATCCTCTTGCCAAAAGTGAGCCAGGAAGCCGTAGAGGCAGCAGGCAGCTGTCCCTCTTGGAAGCATGGTGGTTTCCATGCCAGTTCTTGGCCAGTGGGGATTTCTCAGGTATGGGAAGAAGTGGGGTATCTCCATGGAGCTGCCAGTAGGAGTTGGGGTGGGTGAATCCTGCTGATTTTGGCCTTGTTGTGACAAGGAGGGTCTGATGCTGGAGCTGAGCTCCTTCAAGGGTCACAATCCCCTCCATGTTGTGGTGCAGGGCTGTGTAGGAACTACCTGGGCATCCTTGCCAGCATTACTACAGTCTGGTTCCTCTGCCAGCTGGGCATGGATTCCTCCCTGGAAAGCAAACTTCTATTTTTTATTGTGGAAGAGGAAGCGGGAGTTTCCAGTTCCTTTCCAGATCTGCTGCTGCTGCCTAGGGGCTCCTGGAAGAGGCTGGACACTGTTTCTATGCAGTGGGATATAAAACCAGTTTTCTCACTCTTGCTGCTGTCTCACTGGTACAGGACAATGTCTTGAGGGTCTGTTTGGGTATAGAATCTCTGAAAACGGAGCTGAGCTTTGTGGGAGGTGGGGACTGTGGTCGCGCTGGTTTGAGACCTCAGCTCAGAACTCTTCAGGATAAAGTAACAAATCTGGTCACCCAGGCACCCTGCTTGACCCAAAGAAGGAGGATTTTGCAGGGGTCTGCTTATCACAGGGGTCTGCTGGTCACAGGATGCAACACCAGCATCCAGGGAAGCTTATTTCTTTAGGAGTAAACTTCATGAGCAGGAGACCTCAGCACACACCAGTAGAAAGAGGGGACATGAGGAGAACAGAGCTGCCCTGGCCACAGCCAGGGTCTCCTCCCCAGGCTCCTTTCCAGCCCCCTGCAGCCACACAGCTGGGACAGCGGGGCAGGGGACAGCGGGGCAGGGGACAGCGGGGCAGGGGACAGCGGGGCTGGGGACAGCGGGGCAGGGGACAGCGGGGCTGGGGACAGCGGGGCAGGAGACAGCGGGGCTGGGGACAGCGGGGCAGGGGACAGCGGGGCTGGTGGAGCTCCTTCCCCTGCTCCAGGAGGTCTCCGCCCAGCTCCATCCCGGCCACGCGGCTGCGGTGCCTGCGTGCCCGAGGAGGGTGGCACGGGCAGAGGCTGCCGGTTTCCAGCGCAGGGCCCCGGAGCCCCGAGCCGCGGGCGCGGAGCGGGCCCGGGACAGCCTGCACGGCACGGGCAGACCGCGCTCAACGCGGCTCCGGGTGCGACCCCAGCCCCTCCAGCAGCGCTGGGCTCCCTCTGACCAACATCCCAGGGATACAGATGGAGACGTCAAAGGGGGCTGCGCAGCCCCTGGGCTCATCCATAGCCCGGCCTGGAGGGATTGGGATGTGCACAGAGGAACATCAGCCAGTTTCTCTCTAATGACAGGAGGAGGATGGGGGCTCTTGAGGGGTGCGGGGTGTGCTGAAACGCAGAGCTGAATTCCCAGGCTGGAAGAGGTGAAGGACGCGGCTGTGGTGCAGGGAACCTTTTCCATGTCTGTGCTCCCTCCTCATGCTGGATCCCTTGGGTTTGCCTGTAGGACACCAAAAGCGTAACCCCCACCTCTGGACCCCCCCACCTAACCCAAGAGCCTTTTTGAGGAAAATTTTGTTTGAGGGGAAGAACCACCAAACTCGATTTAACTGCTCCAGTCAGGGCTGAGCAAACGGGAGCGGTGGGGTGGGCTAGGAAGGAGAAGACCCCCGGGAAGCTGCGGCTCGGTGCCTCCTCCCCCTGCGGGTCCCTGACCTCCCGTTTGCCTGTCAAGAGCGAGCTCCGCCACCGAAACACCCCCTGTCAAATTAGTGAGTCAGAAGACGTAAGAGAGACCACCGCTGCTAATTTGTACATTAACTGGTTCTGACAGAAATATTTCACAAGTGAAAAAACAGAAAATGTGCCTCAAGACAATGTGCAACTTCCGTACCAGCAAACTTCTGCTTAACTGTGCGGTGCCCGCGGAGGGGGGACCCCCCGCCCCGCCGGGAGCAGCGGGATGGGTTTAGCCCCGGGAGATGCTCCCGGAAGGCTGGATCAGGCCCTGAGCTGTGGGAGGGGGGCAGGAGCCCGCAGATTCCCCAAAATGGGGGGGGGAGGGGGGAGGGCAGGAGATCCTAGCACCGTTTCCCATCGGGAAAAAGGAAAGGGAATGACAGGGTGGAAGGGGCTTGGTGCGAGCCCCCTCCTCACCCCACGATAGAGGGGTGCTGCCTCTCCACAGCACCCTTCTGTCACCCACCCTGCTTCCAGCAGCTGCCGAGATTAGGGTCTGCTGCTTTTTGCCCCCCTAGCCCAGGATACGACCTGCTGGGGCTGTCCCCATTGTCACCATGCGGGACAAGCCGTGGGTCACGAGCTATGGCCACTGTGCCGAGAAAATCCATGGGTGCAGGCAGCTGCCAGCCGTGCCCACCCCAGCCCCACGGTGCCCACGGGAGAGCAGCAGGGTGCCAACCCTCCCCGGGACCCACGGGAACCCCCGAGGCACCGCAGCACCGCCAGCTCCTCGCCACCACGAGCGGCCGTGGCCAAAGCCGGCGGCCAAAGCCGGGGGCTGTGCCGAGCCCCGTGCGGCAGAACCCCGTGGAGAGGTGGCAGGAGCGAGGTGGCCGCCGGGGGCTACCGGGTGGCTCCTCACGGTGGCCTCACGCCCTGCCCGGGCCCGTCCTCCCCCGCGCGGGGCTGGCACCGGAGCGTGTCGGGGCGCGGGTGGGAGCAGGTCCTCGGGCCAGCAGCATCGAGCACATGATCTGTTGTGGCAGGTTCCCTGCAGCCTGGAGCCAGCCCCGAGCGAGCGCTGGTGATGGCTTTAATTGCTTTCAGATTCGATAGCCCAGCCCGTGACAGCCCGGACCCTGCGCGGCCCCGCGCCCGCTGCCCTCGGATGGAGCCGCGAGGAGGAGCAGGACGAGAGGAGCCGTCCTGGGATGGGGTCTTCCTCTTCGTCCTGGTAAAGTCTTCCCCTTCCTCCTGTCTGTCTGGGTGACCCCCTGAGTCTCATCCCTGGAGAAACCCAGCCGAGGGACAGCGTGGCACCCTAGGATGCCGTGGCAGCCCTGCTGTGAAGCCACCCGGCCATGTGTCACCGTGAGCCCTGGGCGAGCGCCCAGAGCAGCTCCACCCCGGCCTCTGCAGCTCTGCCGTATCCCCATTCGGAAGCGGGGGATGTTGGAGGGCTCTCCTCGCCCATCGGAGCTGGGGACGTGGGAGGTGGCGGCTCCGTAATGCCACTGAGGCACAGGCTGGTCCCCTCTGGTGGCTGCTTGTGCCCTCTCAACCTGCACGGCCGTGTCGGGGACTGGGACTGCTCTCTAGGTAGCCTGGGCTTGACACAGATCTCGGGGGCTTTGTGCCTCATCTGAAGGGGGAAGAAACTGACTCCAAGCATCTTGTGGGTCATCTTCGTACGGGCTGGTGGCTGGGGGGGAGCTGGGGGTCTCTGGGGTGGGAGGATAAAGGGCCGCTCCCCACCTACAGCGGCAGCCGTAGGCTGCCCCTGACCCGCTGGTGCCTGTGCCTGTATCCTCCTCCTCCTCCTCCTCCTCGTCTTTCCCGCTGCTGCCGTGGTCCGAGGTGTCTCCCCCCCGCTCCAGCCCAGCCCAGGTGGGTGCAGGCAGCTGCAGGATCCGTAATGCTTCCCTGCCTGGCCCGGAGCGCGCTCGAGGGGAGCGGGATGAGCACCCTGGCACCCAGAGCTCACCCATGTACGCACGGCTCTTCAGCCAGGCTGGGGGTCCCAGCCCGAGCCTCCGGGCTGGCACAGGGAGCTGGCACACGGTGCCAGCGGTGCCCGTGCCCTGTGTCCTTCTGGGAGGGAGCCCTGGCCGGAGCGGCGCTCGCTCCCTCCTGGGATGGGGCTGCAGGGAACCCGCGTCCCTGTGCCTGCCGGCCGGCCCGGGCAGCGGCTGGTGCCGGTGGAGGTGGGCGGTGAGCGCTGCTCCGCGCTCGGCAGCTCCCGGCAGAGCGGGACGAGCGGAGGACGCGGCGGGGGCCGCCCGCATCCCGATCCATTATTGCGGGCAGCGCCGGCGGGCGCCCGGGGCAGCGGCTGCATTATTGACGAAGGGGAAGGCAGGCCGGGCGCGGGCAGGGACCCTCCTGCAGGGCTCAGCCCCGGGCAAAGCACTTCGCCTGCGCCGCAGAGCCGCAGAGCTGCCGGGCCTGGCCCGGGGCAGCGGCCGCAGCCGCCCACCGCAGCCTGGTCCTGCGGCCGCCGAGCATTCCCCGTGCCCGGGCCGGGGCTGGGCCCCGGGCACCATCGGCACCCCCGGGAGGGCGATGGAGGTGGGCGACAACCCCCTTGCGATGCTCACGCTGGCACCGGCGCTGCAGCTCTGCCCCCCTCAACCCAGCGCAGCGCTGGTGCTGCTCTTTTTTAAGCTTCCCTCTGTCTCCAGGCGGAGATTTGTGGCGTAAAATGCACAATATGTTCTATCTGCCCTGTGGGAGCCATAAAATATTCACCAGCAGCTCCCATTATAGTCAGAGTGAATCACAGAGAGCGCTGGAGCCCTGGCTCCCTGACATGCCCCTCCCGAGGAGGGTCTGACGGGCCGGAGCCGGGCCGGGTCCCACAGCGAGGACCCGTTCGGACCCGTTCGGACCCGTTCGGACCCGTTCCCACCGCTGCCTCGGGGGAGATTTCCCCGGCCTCGGCAGCTCAAGGGGTGGTGATCGTGCTGATGAGAGGCGGCTGCCTCAGAGAACCCCAGGCTGGTTTGGGATGGAAGGAACATCAAAGCCCATCCCATTCCACCCCCTGCTATGGGCAGAGACACCTTCTACTGTGGCTGCTCCAAGCTCCATCTAACCTGGCCTTGGACACTTCCAGGGACCCAGGGGCAGCCACAGCTTCTCTGGGCACCCTGTGCCAGGGCCTCACCACCCCTCACCTTCATCTGCCTGAGCATCCTCGTGTGTGCCCAGGGAGGAGCAGCACCAGCCCTGCGGGTGGAGGGGATCAGTGGGACGGCAGCAGCTGTGGGGTGGGCTCACATGGCCCGGCAGCCTGCCGTGCTCGTGCTGGCCCACCAGATGAGCTGGGGTGTGGACACCCCTGGGGTGACTTGTCCTGCCATTTTTGCAGCCACAGCCCTTTTGGGTGAGGAGTCACAGCCGTGCCAGGGCAGTGGGACAGCCCCTGCCTGCTCCCTGCCTCAGCTGCCACACCTGTGCCTCTGCTCTTCACACGGCTTGGTACCACAGCACTCCTCCTCCATCTCCCCTCCACCGTGTCCTGCTGTCCATCTTTCCCTTCCATCCATCCTTCCCTTGGCCCGCTGCTCCCTCTGCCCATCCCCATCTCCCCGTTCAGACCTCAGGCTTAAGACTGACGGAGCCAGCGGATGACAAATTTCCTGATGAAGCAACACCCTCCTCCAGAGCTGATGTGTCAAACACAATTTTATCTTTTGCCACACAATTATTTGTAATTATAAAGCAGTTAATGCTGCCTCAGCCCTTGGGAATTGGGCACAATTAGGGTTTAATTTCACCTCCACTCCTTCCACGGCTACACCGCAGCTCTCAGCCCGATCTGTGATGTTGGGGGTGTTCCGAGGGCTCCCAAAGCGTCCAGACGGAATCACCGCCCTCACTGCTGGGCACCGTGCCTTCTCCTGGGAGGTGGCGTCCCCTCCGCCACCGGGCACTGCCGTGCCAAGCTCCTGGCATGGCAGGATTTGCTCCCAGTGCGTTGGCAGGCACGGGGCTCTCCAGGACGTGGAGCCGTGGCCGTGGGAAGGCAGGACACGATCACCCACCTGGGCTGGTCATCGCGACAAGAGCCAGCACCAGGTCACTGCGCTGAGATGTCCCGGCGTGTCCTTGGCACTGAGCAGCACGGAACGGGGAGGGGGGACCCGTCACAGCCCCCCGGGATGGCCAGGAGGCGACAGCGAGGGGCTGCACGGCCGCGAGGGTTAAACCCGGCTCCTCTCCCTGAACAGACTGAGGGAGAGGAGGGAGCGTGGCAGTGCCCTCCCCGCCAAAATTAACTCTCCATCTGTTTCTCCCTGGCTGAGGCTGATGGCTTGTGACAGGGCCTCCTGAATGCAAAGATGTTTCGCCCGGAAAAATCTATTACAAGTTGCTGTAAGAAAGAGCGAAATCCTCTCCTTCTGTCTCTCCCTACTGGTCTCAAGGTGCCCACCCCGGGCGAGAGCGGGCTGGCAGCCGGCCGCCTCCGCTCAGCCGGAAAGTTCTCCCCGCGCCAGGCGGCCCCGCCGCCGGACAAAGGCTCGGCAGGAGCCGGGGCGCTGCCCTGGCTGCGGCGGAGGGATGCTCCTCACACGGCGCCGGGCACGCAGCGGGCACGGCCAGCGCGCCGCCCGGCATGAACGGGTGGGGAAACTGAGGCACGAGCGGGAGAGCGTCCAGGCGGGCGGTGGGTGCCCTCTCCCGGCCACGGCACAGCCCTGCTCGGCCCTGCGGGAGAACACCGCTCATTTAATGGGAATTTCTGGATTTTGCTTCTGTTCTGCTTTATTTCCGCCTCTCTCTACGTTCCCACACCCCCAAGTGCGGGAAGATTCCAAATTCCCCTTTTATTGGTGCTCAGCTCTCCCCCGGCAGCGACTGTCACTGCTCCACAGAAATGCCTTCAAGACCATGGCTCTGAACCCCAAACCAGCCCACCCATCTCTTTCGTCTCTTCCACAGCAAAACCAGGCAGCTTCAGTAAAAAACAAAACTTTATTTGGTCCGTCAGAACCTGAGTTTGAAAACCACCCATGGATAATTCATATCATACAGGGATTACTGATCTGATTTACAATTGATAAAATATCCTATGATTCTGAAGAGCTGGACAGTATTTACAGGGTTAAAAATATTCACAGCTCAGAAAGACAGAAAGAGAGAGGAGAAAAAAAAGTGAAGGACAAATCATCCCAAGGAGGAAGGAGCTGGAAAGAGAGAAAACAGACCAACAAACAGAAGTACAGACAGAGCTTGGCTCAGCAGCCCCAGCTGGGGGGGCTGGGAGGATGCCAGGGCAGCCCACCCCCCCTGCCACCCCCAATCCCTGGGGGACAAAGAGGGACAGAGCCCTGCACCCTCTGCCCAGCCCAGCTGCTGGTGCAGGTTTGGGGTGCAGGGTTTGGGGTGCAGGACCCCCCAGCATGGTCCTGCCAGAACAGGGTCCAGCATCGCCCATCACCCCCCCTCAGCTGTAAGTCCACACAGCTCAGGAAGGAGATGGTACACAGGGGAACCCCCAAAACACACACACACACACACACACACACACACACACACACACTCTCACTCACACACACACACACACTCACACACACACTCTCACTCGCACACACACACTCACACACACTCACACATACTCACAACACACACACTCACTCACACACACACACACACTCACACACACACACACACATACTCACAACACACACACACACACACTCACTCACACACACACACACACACTCACACACATACAACGCACACACTCATTCACACACACTCACACACACACACACACTCACTCTCACTCACACACAACACACACACTCACTCACACACACTCACACACACACACACACACACTCACACACACGCACTCACATCTCAAGTCAGAGAGCCACAATGCCCTGAAAATGTGGGGTGCAGCTCCCCCCAGGATCAGCCCCCACCTCGGAGCACCCACAGGGCCAGCAGCACCCTGAGGTGCAGCCTTTGCTTTGTGCTCAGTGCCTCCCACAGCACTCGGGCTCTGGAGGAGGGGGCTCCCTGCTTCACCCCCAAAACCACCCCTTCCCCAGCACATGGACTCGTGCTAACTCCAGGGAAGTGCTCCCTGGCCCCAGGTCTGTACCTGCTGCCCACCTTCCCTCAGCGGGGCACAGGAGGGGCCCACAGGGCAGTGCCAGGGGGCTGAGCCCAGCTCGGGCCATGGCTTCTGTCCAGGCACTGCTCCCGCCGGCCGCCTTTGCATAGTAACACTTGTGTGACAGGGAGAGCGGCCCCGGGCCGCAGCCCCCGCCAGCAGCACCCCAAGGCCCTGCTCCCCACCCGGAGCCGAGCAGGAAGTGGCGAGTTTCACCCCAATTACAGCAAAACCCCCTCAGCAGCAGCTTTCTGCGACAACCCTGTGCCCTCTCCCCGCCAGCCCCAGCACCCAGGATGGGCGGGGGGTCCCTGGCATGGGTGGCGCCATGGCAGTGGGACCCTGGCACTCCCCAGCCCAACCTCAGCCCCACGCTGGTCCTGGCAGCAGACAAAGGGGGCAACAAGACAGCGGGAAGGGCCTGGGGACAGACGGAGCTTCACACAGACGGACAGACATCAGAGGTATATTCTGCTTTTTGCAGCGCCAGTGCCCTGGCGCCACGGGAAGGGGCAGAGTCCTGAGCGTGGTGCCTGGGAAGGGTCTTGACAGCAACCTCCAGCCCCTCCCTCTCCCCCAGCCCCCGGGGTGGGCAGAGGGCACCGGGCCCAGCACAGGACCGGGGCAGGTGGGATCCTGAGATGGCCCATGCCCCCAGCCGCTCCTTGTAAAGTGCGTGGGGGCAGCAGTGCCAGGGCAGCAGGCAGGGCTGGTGCTGGCCCTGAGAACTCGCCCCGGCCCCGCGGCGTGGGGCAAAGTGCTGGGGCTGCCACTCCAGCTGTGCCCACAGCTCAGCGCTGGTGGCTCGGGGGCACTCCGGGCCAGAGGCTCGGTGACAGGAACGGGGCAGCAGGGCGGGGAAGGGGAGGCTTTCGTCATAGGGGCCGGGGGCCATGCAGCCCAGCGACCTCGGGCGTGAGCAGCGGGTTGTGGGTGCCCTTCGTCAGCATCCAGTCATTGAGGAAGGCCTGGGTGGCTTTGCGGTGCGCCAGGCGGTGCGTGATGGAGAAGCCGGCGTTACCCTCCAGCTGGGACAGGATCACCAACACCTGCCTGTGGAGAGAGCCAGGGGCTCAGGGCAGCAACCTCCACCCCTGCAATGCCACCTCTGCCCCAAGAATCCCACCTTTGCCCTGGCAATCCCACCTCTGTCCTGAAAATCCCATCTCTGCCCCAGCAATCCCACCCTGTCCATGCCTCCCTGCCAGCCCTGGCTCTGCCTTTCTCCCAGCCTCATGGCAGCCCCATGGCAGCCCCCGTGACCCACCCCTGCCTACCCCAGACCTGTGCAGGGGGGGGACGCTGTCCTGTGTCTTGAGGCTGCCGCGCGTGGACACGACGTTGAAGCTGTCGGTGCAGTCGCACTGCACGTGCAGGTAGGACTTGGGGTGCCGGTTCTCCACCACCACGATGAGCCCTGCCCAGCCGTGGGTCAGGTAGTAGCAGGTCATCCCCTCACGGCCCTGGGGCAGACAGCAGGGAAGAAGATGAATCCTCTGGGCACTCCTGTCCCCAAATCAAAACCTCTGCACTGGCATCTTCCACTCTAGCCAAGGGCAGCCCATCTGCTGGGGTGCCCCGCGCTGCCCAAAGGAACAAAGGGGGTGGGCAGCCAGGGGTGGCAACCAGAGCTGGCACAGCCTTGCCCAAGGGCCCCACAGGCCCAGGCTCCCTCTGGCAGCATCACCCCTCTCCCCACTGCAGTCCCCACCCTGTGCCCCCCACCCACCTCGTGGCGCTCGCCCTTGTTCTCGGTCAGCAGGATGATGGCATCTGCCAGCGTGGTGGGTTGTGCCTCCACCTGCTCCACCATCACCAGGCGGGAGCTGTAGATAGCCAGGATGTAGCTGGAATAATCAGTGGCTGGTCGGCTGCTGGTGGGACTTGAAGCTACATAGACACACAAAGGAATGGGGATCAGGGAACTGTCACCAAGCCCACAACCTGTCACAATCCCCAGGAGCATGGTGCTCCAGGGTTGATGCATGTGCAACATCAAACAGGCAACCTCCACCCTCAAGAAGGTCCCCATGAGGAGGACCAAGGGCTTTGGCACCTCACTCCCCCAGGACCCCTCCATGCCCTCACCCTGGGCAGCAGGGCCGGCCAGGGCAGCGCTCCAGTGGTTGAAGGCACAGCACACGACGGCGTATTCGCCCGGCTCCAGCATCACGTCGCAGTTGACGAACTTCTTGACAGCTCGCTTGCTGTGGGCCATCAGCCGGCCCAGGCTCAGCTTGTTCCCACTGGTGAAGGTGGCCCGGAAAACCATGATGCACAAGTCCAGCAAGTGGCTGTCCACCGTGTCCGACCTCCTGTGTCAGGGAGGAAGGGTCACACGTCACCCAAGACACAGGCAGCAGATCGAGGGAACAGCTATCCCACTGCCCCAACTATCCAGCCCCAGGAACCAGCCATGTATTCAGGAGCTGGGTTCCAGCTAAACATGAGCAGTTCCCCAGATTTGGAGAGAGGATGATAGGTGCCCATCCCTGAGCTCTGTGACACTGGGAGATGCCATGTGGGAGATGCCAATGTGTTTGGATTTCTTTTGGGTCCACAGAAACAGAATTGTGCAATCATAAATGTTGGGAAAGTCCTTTAAAAACATCAAGACCATTAACCCAGTGCTGACAAGGTCACCACTAACCCATGTCCCCAGGTGCCACATCCATAAGGTTTAAATCCTTCCAGGGATCGGGACTCCATCACTGCCCTGGGTAGCTGTGCCAGGGCCTCAGCACCCTTTCAGTGAAGAAATTTTCCCCAATATCCAAACTAAACCTCCCCTGGTGCAACTTGAGGCTGTTTACCCTTGTCCTGTCTGAAAGCAGAGCCTGACCCCTACCTGGCTGCACTATCCTGTCAGGAGTTGTGCAGAGCCACAAGGTCCCCTCTGAGCCTCCCTTTCTCCAAGCTGAGCCCCCCATTTTGCTGCCCTGCCCAGCTCACCTGCTGCCCTCCTGGAAGAGGGCAAACTCCAGAGCTGCGCGTTCCAACACCGTCAGCGACGTCACCGTCACCGGCCCGTTGGCCTTGTTGGGGAACACGCCCTGCACACGCACCTCGTGCCAGTCCGAATGGAGTTTGCAGATATCCACGGAGTCAAAATACCTGTGGGGAAACCGGGCTCAGTCCCATGCTGCAGGACACCCACATTCCCTAGGGATGACCGGTCCCACCTGCCCCATCATGACCCCACGTCCTGTTTTCCATTCCTGCCCTGTTCCCTGCCCCACAGCTCTGCTCTGGTGGTGCCATACTTGATGAAGTCGCTGTACTCCATCCAGAAGACGCCCTCGCTGCTGCCATGGGGCATCAGGTCGTGGCGCAGAGGGAGTGGCCAGTGCGGCCACTCGTCCGACCAGCTGCCATTCCAGGAGAAGCGGCCCCAGGGATTCCGGAGACGCAGTAACCTGGGGGAAGGGGAAAAGTCAGAGACCCAGGAGGGAAGGGAGATCCAGCCTGCCCCCCACAAAGGACACCCTGTCACTCCCACCTTACAAAGCCCTCACAGGATCCCAGAACTAATGTGTCACCCACATCATGGCCCCAGATGTCCCTGTCCTGTGGCTCTGGTCCTGCTGCTGCTCCCTCTGCCCTTCCCTGCCCAAAGGGGCTCAGCCAGGTGCTGTGGGGAAGGAGCTCAGCAGGGGAGAGGCTGCTGAGAGTGACATGGCTGAAAATACAGCTTCCTACAGCAGCCAGCTGTCAGGGTGGCACCCACTTCTCTCCCACTTCCATTCAAAGGTGAGCACTATGCTCTAAGCACCTCACCGAAGTGAGAACTCAACTCAGTCCTCTGTGTCTTGTGAGACCAAGTGAAACATTCCACCCCTGGACATAGAGGCAGCACCAGGCAAGGACAGCTCATATGATATCAACATTTATGTGACACCCTAGGATGGTGTCATCCTTGCTGGCCATGAGGATGGGACACCAAAGAGTCCCCAAGGTCCTGTTCACCATGTCCTCAGTTATCTGTCCCCAGATTTTCTGCTGGGTCTGCTGGCAGGAGCAGCTGCAGTGGCATGGCAGGCTCCAGCCTGAGCTCACCTGAAGCCCTGGACATCCCGCACGTCCAGGATGGAATAGGCGTGCCGGGGTCGGAGCCCCATGCTCTCGTAGGCCACATCATCCACCTTCATGTTGCCTCCGCCGCAGGACGCGCCCATGAGGAACCTGCACGGGGACAGCAAACCCTCGGGGTCCTGCCGTGGGGGAAGCTCATCCCTCTCTAACAAGGCATGGGACAGCTTCCTCCCAGGAGGCTCTTTGCAACAACACTGCTGGGATCAACAACACTCCCCAGGCAGTGCCCGGCCCCGCTGGCCAGAGCTCCCTCCCCTTGCCCACGTGCATGCTGAGCCCAGGCTCCGAGGAGAGCTGCTTTGCACTGGTAAGTATTGCCCCAAACCTCCCCCAGTTTCTACCAGGTCCCAGGGTCCTGCACACTTCTGCTGGTTGGCAGAAAGCCGTGGAGAAAGGCAGGTGGTCCAGCAGCTAGACAAGTTGGCAGGGGTGAGGACACTATTTTGGGGCAGGTTTAGGGGGATGCCATGAGCTATCCATCCATGGGGCCACATACCCCAGCCTTCAGCCAACCCAGCTGCCCTCCTGCCCAAGTGATGAGCAGGAGGTCTCTGCTTTGGCTGTGCCCCCTCTAGACCAGAGCTAGTCAGGTGTCATTAGCAAAGATGTCACATATGGGTGGGAGACATGGGCAAGGTGAAGTATTCACACAACAGAAAAGCTCAAAGCAAAGCAAGTGGGCTCAGTGCCACTTCCTAACTCCTGCAAGACAACAGGAAGCATGGGGATTTCACAAGGCTCTTAATTTCATATGAGAATCACTCACAGGAGAAATAATTTCTTAGAGCTTCAAGTGGGAGCTCCACCAATGCTCTAGATGAGTGGCAAGGGTGGTGGACTCTACCCCAGCTAATGCAGTAACCCCTCTCCTGAGCCTCTAAAGACAAGAATGCTCCCCCTCACCCCCTCTCCAGTGTCCCTGCTCCTGCCTCGTCTTACCCAGCCTCCTTAGAACTCAGCATTTTGGCCCAGATGAGGTCAGTGTCAATGGGCTCCTCGCGAGGGTTAGTGGAGCTGACCTGCAGCATCAGGCTCTCGCAGGGGGCCCCTGTGAGCGTGGCCAGGCCTTCGATGGCACGCCCGGCCTGCAGGGCGAAGTACGAACCGTGCAGCTTGGCCAGCGCCTTCTCGATGAGGGCCACCCACAGCTGCTTCCTCTGGGCCTGCAGAGACAGGGAGGGACACATCACCACCGGGCAGGACTGGGACAGCCATCTGGAACAGCAAGGCCATGCCAGGAGCTGGTCCCCTTGGCCATGGGTGACCCGTTCACTCTTTGCTCAGTGTCTTGTTTGCAGAGTTCAATTCCCCTTGGGAAGAAGTCCTGGAATGAACATCCAAGAGGACTGGATGCTGACAGAACTGCACTCTAGGGTGCCCAGCAATCAGGCTGGCAGGGTGTGTGCCCACCCTGAGCCCCTTCTGTCCACTTCAACCTGAACTTAGAATCATTTAATAATGGAAGAGGACACCAATGCTGACAGAGCTCAAATTTGGACAACGCTCTCAGGTGCAAGGTGGGATTGCTGGGGTGCCCTGTGCAGGGCCAGGAGTTGGACTCATGATCCTTGTGGGTCCCTTCCCACTCAGGACATTTAGGGTTCTGTGGTGTAGAGCACATCTGGAACAGCTGCCTTTAACTCACACACCTCTGCAAACCCAAACCAACACCCCTCTTTGGCAGAGGAGGCTCCCCGGAGCGCAGATGGCCACAGGACTGATTGGATTCCACCCAGGCAACACAGACACTGCTTCAAGGACAAGCTCCAAAACCTTGGACTGGCAAAGTCCTCAACTCCAGCACAGGGAGTAACTACAAGGCCTAATTACAAAACACAAGTTTTTTTCCAGCAAATGGGGTTTGGTATCCGGTGCTTGGAGAGCAGCAGGGAAAATCACTGGTACATTGTGCCTGTGTGACTCACAGGTGGCAGCCAAGAGCTGGCAGAGGAAAGGAGGGCAGTGAAGATTTCTTTCTGACGGATAAAGAGAGCTTAAAAGTGCTTTTTGCTGGTTTTTGGGTCCCTCACTGAACAAAATCCATGTTGTTTATTTCTGCCTGATCCACAGCCAGGGAGCTCAGATAAGAGCCTGATTTTCTTTTATTTTTAAAACTCTGATTTTCCTTTTATATCCCCCACATCCAACTCCCACAGCTGAACACTCAGCAGAAAAATCTCATCACGATTCAGATGCCCCTGGAAACAGAGGCAAGGCAAGTCCAGCCCATGTGAAAACCTCCACATGGTTTTCTTTAAAAAACTCCAAAATCTTAAAGAAACTCCAAAAGCAGACTTGAAATTCATGAAAGATGGGAAAAAAAGGTAAAAACCAAGACAGGTAAATCTTATGCTGAAACAGCGAAATGCATCTGTATGCTTTGTCTACTGAGGCAGAATGTAGACACAAACTCCTTCTTCCCTACTCTGAAGTTTGAATCCTGTCCTGACATGGCTGTGTCTCAAAACCCAGAGGACTGGATTTGCAGAACGAAATCCAAGCCAACAGTCCCAGTCCCTGTCTCTTCCTGACAGTGGTACTTTGTTTCCTTTAGCAGATTTTGCCCCCTGAGTTTCAACAGAGATGTTCTCAGTCTCCTTCATGGACATGATCCCAGCAAGAGCCCCTGGGGCTGCCAGGCAGGGCAGGGCACAGTGATGTCCTGGAGGGGCTGAGGGAGCTCCACTGACCTGGGCAGATGCCACCCCAGCGTGCTCAGAGTACCTGGGCACTGGCTGGGAACAGGCTGCTCCATGTGCCATCCCCTCCTTCTCCACAGGTCCTCCCTGGCACAGCCAAGCTGCCAGACCTCTCCTCAGAGGAAAGCAACAGCTTTCCCTCAGTCCCTCACAGTGCAAAACACAGGTTAAAGTGTTTTCCTTTTATATGAAGAATATGGGTGGCTTTCCCTGCAAGTGAAGTGGCTGTGGTGCAAGGAGTTAGGGAAAAGTAAATGTGAATGAAACTTCTCCACTGCAGCCTGGGAAATGCCAAAAGGGGTCTAAATAGATGGATATCATGGCCTCAAAGAGTTCAGCTGTTTTGAGGACACAGTAAAGAGCAGTGTCCTGAGCTGCAAACAGGGTGCAACCAGCGCTGGATCTTCCATTTGTGTCACAGCATGCCCTGGCAGCTCCAGGCTTGGGGCAGCTGGGAAGTACCTGCTGGGAAAGGAGCTGGGAGTGCTGCTTGGCAGCAGCTGAACATGAGTCAGATGTGCCCAGGTGGGCAAGGTCAATGACACCTGGCATGACAGGAAGGACGTTGAGGGGCTAGAATGTGTCCAGAGAAGGGAATGGAGCTGGGAAGTGTCAGGAGCACCAGGAGGGGCTGAGGGAGCTGGAAAGGGGCTCAGCCTGGAGAAAAGGAGGCTCAGGGAGACTTTGTGGCTCTGTACAACTCCTGACAGGAGAGGGCAGCCGGGGGGGGGGTCAAGCTCTGCTCCCAGGGAACAGGGACAGGACAAGAGGAAACAGACTCAAGTTGCACCAAAGGAGGTTTAGCTTGGTTATTTGGCAAATTCCTTAATGAAATGTGGTCAGGCATTGGAATGGGCTGTCCAGAGCACTGGTGGAGCCCCTATCCCTGGGAGTGTCCAGAAAACAAGTCAATGTGGTGCTTTATGGCATGGTCTAGCGGGCAAGGGGTATTTAATCAGTGGTTGGACTGATGATGTTTGGGGCCTTTTCCAACCTCAGTGTCTCTATGACTCTAAATGCAGCACGAAGTAGGGGCCTCACATGAACCCCAGCAGTGCCTCTTCCCACTGCCTCTCCTGCGACAGTCTGGGACGAGCCTCCCTGAGCCCTGGGGCACTGCCCACCCCCGTCCTGCCGTGGCACTAACCTGGGAGAAGAGCAGGTACCCGCACTCGTCGCAGGGCAGCATGTCATCCACCAGCACCGTGGTCCACGTGCCATCCTTGCACAGCCGCACCTGGTAGGCGCCCTCGGGGCACAGCGTCCTGGTGATCATCACCCTCTCCACCAGCTCGGGCCGCTCGGCCAGCACGGCCAGGGCGCTCAGGAACCTGCCGGGCAGGGGCGGCCTCAGCGCGGCACGGGTGGGCAGCACGGGAGGGCAGCACGGGTGGGCAGCACGGGAGGGCAGCACGGGTGGGCAGCACGGGAGGGCAGCAGGGGCGGGCAGCACGGGAGAGAAGCACGGGAGGGCAGCACGGGAGGGCAGCATGGGAGGGCAGCATGGGAGGGCAGCACGGGAGGGCAGCAGGGG